TTATTTAACTCCTACTGTGCTTGGCGTCATCACGGGTCTTCCGAGTTCAGATCGTGACAGTTTTCCCACATTAAGTAGTCTCTGTCCCACATTTGGTACGTTTGGATCTATTCACCCTACCGGGAAGATGTCCCCATTGATGCCACACCATACCTGTAGAAATACCTGCAGAAATCTGAGTAAAGCTGTTTTGTGCAAAAGACGTCCTACTAGGATCATTAAGGTAGCCTTCAGCTAATTGCTATGTACACCCGTCCTTTTTGACCTCCTTGTCCATTTCGTGTCTTCTTCTAATCACAACCTGTTCCTTCTGACATTATTATATGTGCCTCTTTACTCATATGCATAGAAACTGTCTCTCCAACACTGGGGACATTTACCTTCATTCTTGCTACCACCAAGACGACAAACTGCGAACAACTGTGGAGCAATCAAGTCAGAAAGAGAACACAGCACCGCTTGTGTTCTGCGCTGATGCTCGAGTAGTTCAATATGTCACCAGAGCAGACACAAGTGCATTTAGAGCGGTGCGAACAGAAGCACAGGAAGTACTTTGATTGGAGTTAGTGTGTAAGCCTGTAAGTCATGTCTGCTTGTTAATTCACCCTCAATAGATTCATTATTGAGTTTATAGACATTTGTGGCAGAATAAACCCTGCAAATGCTTTTGTCTTTGTATCAATGGTATAAAGTAGAAAGCAGATTTAATTGTCTGGCTGTGTTAGAGCCTATTTCCTTATCATCAACAGAATATGACTGTGGTGCTCTCCTCAGCAAAAGTTCCTGCAGAAATTAATTTAGACACTCATTTCAGATGAGCATGTTTTTGAAGGATCCCTGATCGTCGTCAACGTGAGGCTGTTTTCTGTCGTTCTCCAAATAATGAAATGTCCTAGAAAACAACAGAACGGATACCTACCTCCTGTCAACATGACAGACACAGTATTAACACACCGGCTGCCCTGGAGATCACAACAAACAACCCGTAACGTCAACGTCAGTGAGCACCGCTGTTCCCACAGGAAACACGATGTTAGAATACAGAATTTAAACTGTCCCTTGGTTTAAAGTGGATGTTGTTGGAAAAAGAAGGGAAGTCTTAAACCAAACTGACAACAGTTTCTTTGCAGGAGGGGGATACACAAAACCAGAAGCTGAAAGAGATAATCTGCTCTGGTTTTCCTAAATGGGAGCAGGTGCATGTGAAGGCTCACATTTCCTAAGTTCTTTCTCATGTGTGAGCCCTGAGCTTTCTCCGTAAATTACAAGAAGAGCTCCATGGATCCGAGTCAGAGGGTTTCCTTCCTCGGACTAGAAATATGCTCTCAGTCGGCTTGAGCGTGCTTCTCGGCTCACGGGATAGCTGCATTGTGCAGCAACATGACCCACTTCCAGCTGGGAGCTAATCTGACACTCCTCACAGCTTTAGAGCTGTTGGGCATAATGGCTTCCACTATAGCCATGGTGCCTCTCGGTTGGTTTAAAGATGGGTTGCGACACTTCCAGCATTGGGTAGACTCTCCCTCGTGTCATTTTCACAGGAAGTTGACCATTCCTAGGACCTGCATAGTGGCTCTTCTTCCATAGAGAGAACCAGGTTGCTCCAGCAGGGTTCTCCAATTGAGGGGGGGGGGCTCTGTGTCCAAATGCTGCATATATGCCCAAGGTCATCCAGCTGACCATAGAGCTTTTGGCTTTTCAGTCATCCTCCTTTTGCCTCCCAAGACAAGAGCAGAGGAGGTAGCATTGTCTGTGCCCAGTTCATGCTCTGCTGGTTTTTGTGGACTCAGATTTTCCAACTGTCAGACCAGCGGTTTCTGTGTTTCGCCAAACCCTCCAGCTTTGTTTCCCTGTGTTACAGGGTTAATGTCTGTCAGCAGGCTCAAAAGGTCAGAGCACACTCTACTAGAGGTTTGACTACTTCAAGGGCACTGTTTTTAGGGTGCTTCATTTAATGACATTTGCTTAGTTGCTAGCTGGGCTGCACCCCACACTTTTGTGGGATTATACCGTCTGGATTTCATGGCCCCTTTGGTGGCTCATGGAGTTTTTTCTGCTGGGTCTGAGTTGCCATCTTAGATGGCGATGTCAGCCCAGGTTTGATAGTTGCTTATGGGGCATTTTTATATGTTCCATAGTACCTTTGTTGAACCGAGTGAATCGACTGAAAGGGAACGTTAGGTTATGCATATAACCACTGTTCCCTGAAGGAAGGCTCCCAGCTGGAAGTGGGTCATGTTACTGCACAATGCGGCTTTCCCGTGATCCGAGAAGCATGCTCTAGCCGACTGAGAACATATTTCTAGTCCGAGGAAGGAAACCCTCTGGCTCAGATCTATGGAGCTCTTCTTGTAATTTACGGAGAAAGTGCAGGACTCACACACGAGAAAGAACTTTGGAAATGTGAGCCTCCGCATGCACCTGAGAACTTGCTACCAGAGCCCGATCATCCAAGTAGGCAAGAATGTGGATACTAGGGGTTGTATGAACTAGTCGACTAGTCGACCTCACTGCTCTGTAGTGACTTTTTATGCCAGTCATCGACTAGTCGCTGTCACGTGATAATGACAAGATGCAGTCCTCGGAAAAGACAGCAGGTGACGAGCCCCTGCGCGTCTGGATCGAGGTGGAGGCGACGTGCTGTGCCAGAGCGTCGGTACTGACACCTGCCGTAAAACGGACATTTAACTGAATTGTGACATTTACCCTCTTGCAATTTAACCTTCCCCTCACCCCCATCCTAACCTTAACCAGCTTGCACATGCAAAGCTCTGATCGTTGACGCGCTCCAGACATCTGCGTCCTGAGCACGGCCACAGTAACATTATCTAATCAGGTGTCACCACTCAAAAACAAATGTAACGAGATCGTTCATGTCGGCTCATTTCCTTTTATGTTTTCTGTCTTTTGTTTTTGCCTGATGCACCCCACTGCTGTGGAGCAGCAGGTAATCAGAATTGAGGAACAGAAAATCAAATGATTCTTTCAATGTTTAGATCAGCAAGAAATCTGAGAGGCTGCAGGTGCATCAGTGAGTTTACGGCCACTGTGCAGTGGGAGGGGGGAGGGGGGGGGGGGAGGGCTGAAGCAGGGGAACAGTAAAGATGCAAAAACCACTATTGTTAAAAGAAATGTGTGTTAACTTGTGTGTGTTCCAGCATCTGTTTAACCTTTAGTGAACTTTGGTTTGACATCAGTATTTGCATTCTGGGAACGTTTGATTTACAAATTAAGCACTGGAGAACGCTGACCAGAAGACAGCAGAATCAACACCAGCGAGCAGTTAAGCTAACTTTTCAATAGCATAGCTAACAATAGTTTATTTGTACTCACATGTTATCAGCGAGGTGAAGAGCATAAGAACTGAATAATGCCAGTGACGCTGGGGGCTTGTAGATGGAGGGCGTGACCACCACCCAGGGTCACGCTCATTTTCCTTCACAGGCGTGATTAAATGTGTCTTCAGCCAGGCCACACGAGGGCGTGATGTTCCATAGTACCTTTGTTGTACCGAGTGAATCGACTGAAAGGGAACACAAATGTTTTAGGTCTTTGGGAAAAAATGGAGTACTTGTAAAAAAGTCACACATGTATGGGAAGTTGTACCTGTGACGCTAGGGTGACCATGAAGTCCCGTTTTGTGCGGGACAGTGCCGCATTTTCATTACTTTTAACGTGTCCCGCAAATTGAGACTCATGTCCTGCATTATTGACAGTTTCCCGTTTCGAGTTTCAATCTTATAGAAAAAACTGTAGAAAAAAAATCTGCCTGTTGCTGTCAATCAATCGAAGGCGGGACTTTATCGCAGATCCGGAGCGTCTGTGGAGCGCACCCAAACCACCAAAACAAGTGTGAGTGAGCACGGAGGAGAAAATGCTGTAAACTGGTGAATTAAACGTGTTCAGAGATACTCGACAGAGTCTTTGTTCATTCTGAGTCATTTTTTCACGTCTCGGCACGGAGTCTGATAAGAAGAGGTCAAAAGCAGGTTTTCCAGTAATTAGACAGGTCCACGATAAACACAATGGAGGCTCTAACACAGACAGAGTGCTGCGGTTTCAGACACCTGCGTACATGCTGAGCCTCTTAAAGCACAATGAAGAAATAATGAGAGAATTAATGGAAGCTTTGATCACTTATTTTCAGAAATTTGAGGCAAAAAGTAACTCTAAGAAACTCTATTATTAGATTAGACCTGAATTTTTTAGAGATTAGAAACTGATGGTTATTTGCTCACCTAAAATCTAGAAGAGATTTGTTGTCATGTTTAAAAAACGTTTTGTTTCTGAATTATGAAAAAAATAACAAAAAAGTATGGACATTTTTTCTGCGATATGCTGATTTTAGTGGAAAACTAATTAAAAACAAACATAAATAGATCTAAAAAATATTACTGATATTTTTACTGCTATTCTGTTGTAGAAAACATTCAATGAAAACTGAAAAGCTGCTGAAACCTGCCTAATTTAATTTTTGTGGGCCTATCTATATTATTAAAATGATCAGAGCCACTAAAGAAGGCCCAAAGAGCCTGAGTTATGTTGTGGTAACTTGAGAGGAACTGTCAAATAAAGCTTTTTCTGTATGCTTGTTCATGTTGAATTTGAATAAAATATATACAAGAAACATACGATGAAAAAAAAATTTATTAGGGCTAAAAGGCAGAATATATTGGTTTTTTTTTTCTCATTTTGTTGTCCCACATTGAGTAGTCTGTCCCACGTTTGGCAAGTTGGGAGCCAGGTGTAGAAAAAATAGCTTTCTTTTTCTTTCTTATCCAGCTAATTTATCTTTAATGTCCCTTTTACCTGATGGAAAAGTATTATATTTGTTTCGTTAAATTTTGTATAACCTAAAAATCACTTTGGAACAGAAATGATTGTAACGACCTCCTATTGGCTTTAATAACTGTCAATCAAGGCTGTTTCACATACTACTTCATGATTGGTTAAATTGTGAAATGCCGAGTTGTGATTGGCTGAGCATGCGTGTCTGTGGTGGGTAAGCCACGAAAGTAGCTCGCGAGCAACTGAGGAGACAGAAAAATGGGAACGGTGCGGTAAAGTTATGAGGAAAAACAGTTCAGAAGTTAACCTTTCTACCTATTACTTACCTAAAAATGTTTTTGTGTTACAGATGATGCATTCTGGATAGTTGGAGTGTCGAGAAAACCGGATATTGGATGACTTTTGAACGTTTTGGTGAGTAGGCAGTTTTAAGACCGCTAACGGACTAGCAGCAAAAGCTTATCTTAAGGTGAAACTGAGTGGGAAAAAACGTATTTATGTGCTAAAACGTTTAAGTACCAGTTCACTGACAGTATGTTGAAAATGTATTGGTTTTAATCACTAGTATGAAGCTAGTCTGGTGACATTGGGGGTGGGGGGGAAGGGGGTGCGGGGTGGGGGTGGGGGGGGGGGGGGGGTGGGCACGCATTCGTGGCCGCAAGTTATTTTCCCCCCTCAAATGTCACCAGACAGGCACCATAATAGGAGTTTTCCATTTGCTGTAACATTTTTTCTTTGCCAAATAACCTCCACTTTGTACAGCGATACTGCTAAAAGATGGTGATGAGACCAGAGACCTGATTTGTTTATGAATGGGTAAATTAAATGATTCTGTACTTAATTATTTAAAGAAAACTTCACATCTGTGAAAACACTTGTTAAAAACAGATTTACAGCCATGATTTAAGGTTATATTTTTATCTTTTGGGAAGAAATTATTACAAAGAAAAACATTGTAATAAAAATGGATTTTTGTAAAGATTTATTGTGCTCAATAGTAATCTTTGACATGCTATATACAGGGTACATGTGCTATATATGACTATCAAAGGTATTGGCCAGACTCAGCATTAAAATTGTAAAAATTCAGTGTAACTATACTTTACCAATTATATAAATATGAACTTGGTTCAGTTTTTCATTTTGTTAAAGAGCAAGTCACCCTCAAATCAACTTTTTTGCTATTAAACTATATAAATGAGTCTCTAATCGTTAGGGGTATAACAGTACGCTAAAATCGTATTCGATTCGGTTCAGTGTTTTGAAGAGCTCAGTTCAAATCGTTTTCTGTATATTATTATATTTATTTATTTTTTGTCTGAAGCGGCTTCTGTAGTGAGCAGAACCAGGTGTCCTCACAAGCTGCTGATCTAGTATGATGTCTTTAAATATTTCACAGTTTATTTGCGCAGCTATGAGTGTCACTCTCATACGTGTTTGACTGTTGATGTATGAGGCCAGAACAGTCTCAATAAGAATTAAGTCACACAACGTTTTCCACAAATGCACACGTTCATTCGGAAATCCACATCCTGTGTTTCACAAATATAATTCGGAGGAACACAAATGCACACGCTCATTCGGAAATTCACACTCTTTGACTCATAAATATAATGTGAAAAAATAAGTCACGCAACATTTTCCACAAATGCGCACGCTAATTCTGAAGTTCACACTCTGTGGTTCACAAATATAATTTGTAAGAACACTTGTAATATAAACTCACATCATACGAATTGCTGAACGTGCATTTATGAACAGCTTCTCATTTGTGAACCTTTCCGCGTTTGTGAGTGAAATCTGTGTGGTGCATTCACGAACAGCTTCTCATTTGTGAACCTTCCTGCATTCGTGAGAGAAATCGGTGTGCTGAATTTTGAGACTCTCCTAACGTCGCAGGTCAACAAACGTCACCATTGGCTAATGAACCTGTCAATCAAATATATGCTTCTGCCAGGGCTGTTCGCTTTCAGCCAATGGCTCCTTATGTTACAGAACAGATCTGCTGTGCGCATAAGTCGGACACAATTTCCTGCATGTGTAGCTCGGGGGTGACGATGGCTGAAGATATCGCGTTAGCGTTCATACTTGTTCAATTTTCAATTTTAATTCTGGTGCCTGTTAGCAGCTGAAACACATCCTCACGTGCTTGTGGATATCATATATTGTATATGGAGACATGACTGTAATAATAAGTAAAGGTTAGCAGCTGTAGCTTCAGTGTGCTCATAGGAAACATGACAAAAGAACACAAATCACATTTCTCTTTATGGCCTATATAGTTGTCATCATCAACGTTACATGATTTACAGAATACATGTGACCAACTAACATTTCATGTTCTACCACCGGATGATTGGATCAAAATATGAACCAATCAGATCTTAGATCAGGTGAGAGCCAGGCGTTTCCCGTCATCCCCTAGGTTTTGCAGCCAAGGGAGAACAACTGCAGCGACTTGCTCCAAAATCTGCGGCCGCCTTGATCTCAAGTGGTTATCGTTGCCTACGTATGCATGACGTCAGAGCAAGTCGGCATCAAGTCGGACACAAATCTAACCGGTTACATTACATTACCAACGCTCCACCATATGGGTGGCCTCTTAATAATCTTATTCAGAAAAATTATGCATTTTTACTAAGTGAAAGCAAACCCCGTTAGGGGCAGAGACCTCTTGAAGCTCATATTAAACATTGTCTGCAGAGAAGGTAAGAGAAGCTAGTAAATCATCAGGCCTATTCCATGGGAGTGACTCTGAAAAGGAGCAAAAGCTCCAGCTCTTTATCTTGGCAGGTCTCTATTCTCCTGTGTTCAGGCTTTTGGTTACATCAGTTACTTTTCCTTTTAATGAGCTGCATATATTTCTAACACAGCCTTCAGTGACATCAAGAAAAAAAAATAACTTTTTAACTCTAAAAGACATTATTCTCATTCTGAGAACAAATGAACAAACTGTGTGTGGGTATGTGTGTCCAGTTGCAACTTAACACAGACTCAGAAGCATAGAGAATCTTCTCACAACACCTAATCATCCCTTGATCAAAAAACCAGTAGATAGAATCTTGTCATGTTATTCCATTTAATAAGTAGACGGACGGAGGTATAGTACAAGTTTTCAAGTGTAATGAAGATGATCGCAGGGTAACACAGTTCCCCTTAAATGTTGAGCAAAAGTTATGAAACGAGACAAAATTCAAACAATAACATGTAAAAATAAATGGATCTCCTGATAAGAAGTAGGTGCTTCACCTTTAAATGTTTTTATTAGAGCTGGATACACAGGAAGATGCATGTTACTAAACCAACACTAGCAATGATAGCACATTTACATTTTGAAGAATTGTAGCATAGATGAAGTGAACAGCAGCCTTTTCAAATACATTCCTGGTCTAAAATAAATCAGGCTGACAAAGACTTTAAGGAAATACACAACTATAAATGAATTTAGACATCTATTTTGGGGTCTATCCTTTAGCATTTCATATTTACGACGGCAAATCCCTTGAATAACAATATACAGAATATTAACCTTAAAATGGACCACTCCTTCACTTTTTAACTTTCTTCCTTCCTGTCTCATTAATTATTTTCTTTCTTCCTAACTCCCTACCTTCTCTCTCCTTCCTTCTTCACACATGTAATCATCTAGCCTCAAGTAAGTTCTCAACATACTGGACAGTGTGAAGATATGTGTCCACTCCCAAAAGAGTCTGAATGTTGCAACGGATTATGTTGTCCTGCAGTTCCAACATTTCATGATCTGAAAGAGGACTGTCCAGTACAGGGACACTGATCCCAGGATGAGGTTCAGTCATGTATCCGTTCTCCTCCCATTCAATCTCTGGTGTCGGTATACCCTGGAAAAAGAAAGTGTGTATGAGCATTGTGCATAATGAATCTCAAGAAAACACATTTAATAAAGCCCTATCATGACCTTTTAACAATTACTTAACATCAATGATGTCAGGCAGAACCTAGCATCTCCATTATTTCATAAATTATTATTTTTTTTAAATTAATGGGCAAATTTTATGTTAAAACAGCAGTGAGAATATCACATCTGGAAGGTCTAATGCCTTGCATTTTGAACTTGCAGATGTGTCATGACTTTGTAATGTCATGACATTATAGTTGACAGTGTCCACTTCAGTAGAGGTGCACACAAACAGAACCGTAATTTCAACAGCCATTTTGTCTTGAATCCAAGAAGCATAGAGCAGAGGTAGATTATCAAAGTGTTGAACATTTGATTTATAGTTAAGGATCAACTTGACATGTGATCAGTCATTTTAACAGAACATACATTTGCCCCTGGATCAGAAACAGGATTCAGAGCCTGGCCCAGATGCCACAGCTGATTTGGTGTCATGTTTTCCTCTGTCCTGATTGGATGGTTGTCCCACGCATCTCTAAAGACATCCAGGCTGACCTGGATGCGAGACAAGAAAATATAGTGGCAACAAAACATGTGAAGGATGTTACTGATGTCGAGCAAGTCTTGGTCTTCCAGAGAGTGCAGGATGTTGTAATATAGACCAGTAACACTCATGAAGACATCACGCCACAGGCGCTCGATCCTGGATTTGGAGGGGGATTAAATAAAAGAAAATTATAATATACACACAAATTTACATGTCCATACATCCGTTTTCAACTTGAGTTATCTTTTGAATGGTCGCAGGAGGACTGGTGCCTATCTCTAGCAGTCAAAGTGTGAGACGAAGGGTACACCCTGGGCAGGTCAACAGGCACAGGCACGCGCGCACAGACACAAAGCTTTCAAATTAGGTTAAACTCACCGTTGATTGTGTACACTTTTTCCTGCAATGAAGCTGTTGGTGTCAGTTCCACGAACTGAGAACATTAATTCTGCAACACCTACATTTTCTCCGCCATGATCTCCTCTCACCATGAAAAAAAAAAACATTAGAATCTTGCTTCAAACATTTTTAATGCACATCTATAACAATCTACATCAATTTGAGTCTCACAGAAATTTCCTTATGTACCTTGCTACTAAGTGAGTAAACAATGTGGCATTATTAACCCTCTGCTGGGGAAATTTTTTTTGAAAGAGGGAAATGTTCACACCCCCCCCCCCCCCCCCCCCCCCCCCCCCATAGATTTTACTATATGACCTCAAATGGCATGTTATCTTTGGTCAATAACACACTTTAGGCAAAAGCAGATTTGTAACAGGGTAACAGAGGGTAAAGTTGAGAATAACATGAATACCTCAGAGGAAAGCCATGCTCATTCACAGCTTCACTGAAGAAGGCAAGGTGGGTGTCTGCCCGGTTGTTGTCAGCTACCTTCAGGTACATGATCTATGTAATTCAAGCACAAACACTCTCATATGACACATTTTTATAGGGGTCAAAACAATCAATTACCAAATGAAAGGTACAACAGCCATACAATAACATGTTAGATAATTAAATAAGTTAAGATCTGTGAAAACCAAAAATAGCAATTATCTTCTATGAAAATATCTCAGTTATTAACGTTCATGCTTTGGAGCAGAAAAAGTGCATGACAATTAAATATTTCAAGCTCAGTTCGCTCCACTCTGATGGTCACCTGTTCCAGCCAGATACCTTCTTTCAAGGCGTTCAAAGTCGGAAACTCGCTGAGTAAACTGGGTGCTTAGAGGAGTATCTTCAGTTGTTTAAGACTGAGGGTAACGCTGCACACGCTGATTCGACTAGCATGGATGCTAATGATGTAAACATAAAAGAGGGCTTGCTTCGTCTCGCGTGCTAACGCCGCAAAGCACTATGGGATTAGTAGTCTTATTAGCGAAATCGCCCGGCGGGCCAGTTTAATATTATATATTTGATATTTGATTTCGCGGGGCAAATAAAAATAGACCAAGGCCTTGAGTTTGACAACCGTGGCCTAAAAAAATGGTACCTAGATACGCTAACTAAACAAATGTTCACTTGAGTTTAACTTGATGTTAAACTAGATGAAGAATGGACCAGACTTCACGTAACGTCTGGACTGAATTTAACATAAAACATTTTACTTGATCATGAAGAACGCTTCTACTCATAATTCTATAACATTGCATCAATTACAACGAGGGAATAAGATAAAACTATTACTCACAGATCGTGACCGGTCCATCCTGCTCTGCCGTGTGAACTGCAATGCGCATGCGCACAGCAGATCTGTTCTGTGACATAAGGAGCCATATGATTGGCTGAAAGCGAACAGCCCTGGCAGAAGCATATATTTGATTGACAGGTTCATTAGCCAATGGTGACGTTTGTTGACCTGCGACGTTAGGAGAGTCTCAAAATTCAGCACACCGATTTCTCTCACGAATGCAGGAAGGTTCACAAATGAGAAGCTGTCCGTGAATGCACCACACAGATTTCACTCACAAACGCAGAAAGGTTCACAAATGAGAAGCTGTTCGTAAATGCACGTTCAGCAATTTGCATGATCTGAGTTTATATTACAAGTGTTCTTACAAATTATATTTGTGAACCACAGAGTGTGAACTTCAGAATTAGCGTGCGCATTTGTGGAAAATGTTGCGTGACTTATTTTTTCACATTATATTTATGAGTCAAAGAGTGTGAATTTCCGAATGAGCGTGTGCATTTGTGTTCCTCCGAATTATATTTGTGAAACACAGAATGTGGATTTCCGAATGAACGCGTGCATTTGTGGAAAACGTTGTGTGACTTAATTCTTATTGAGACTGTTCTGGCCTCATAGTTGATGTGCCTTGTTTTTATTTCTGCAGTGAGCCTTAAAAACTCACCTCAGACTGCCCACTTTCTTCTTTAAAACTCATATTAGAGGGTATCCGCAGGTCCTTAAAAAGTCTTAAAGTTTTAAATTTGCTTTTTTAAATTTAAGGTCTTAAAAATCATTAGAAATGACAAATAATCCTTAATTACAGTTTCCAAATGTCTTAAATTACCAAAGACCCAATGAACAAGAATTTGTAGTTAGTGTTCAGCATTTTTTGTTTATGATATTGGCATAAGTGGAACTGTACACATTCAGTTGGTTGTGAAAGGGGGCTATTTTTAGATGAGCACATTAGCTGGTTAAGCTAGTGGGAGCTTGCACCACGGGGAAGTGCAAGTTTAATGGTAACTGGGTGGGTAATCCCACGTTTGCGACGTGGTTAGCACCAGTGCCAGGCAATAGCTGAAAATTATAGCTTAAATATAATTAAAAAATAGCTTAAATTTGGTCAAAGTGGCCTTAAAAAAGGTCTTAAAAAGCCTTAAATTTGGCTCCCTTAAACCTGCAGATACCCTGTTAAATAACGAGCTTCCTCCGCATCGTATTTTTTGTTGTAGAATGAAAACATTACATCAACTGCCATGGGGGAAAAGTTCAGTAGACATGTTGTTTACGTTCAGCGTCTCTACTGTCTCCACAGTAGCAGCGACAGCCAGCTGGTTTGATCTGCTCAGAAAGACGTTGATCAGAATTTGCAGATCACCTTTTTTAATCGGAGATCAGGTGCGTGCAACCATCATGCGTCACTCAATACAGCGTCGGTGCGGAAACTCGCCTATGAACTTTGATCTGCTGCACTTAAATCATGCAAACAAAATTTCATTATTTAATGGAAAATGAACCAAAATGGTACGCAAGTGGCCCGAACCGTTAAACCCCTAATATATACATGCAGCTGTAAAATTGGCAGCACATAATTTTGTTTTTTTTCTGTAGATTACTGAATTACACATCAGGACAGTATGATGGAGTTAAGACCTGTAGTCAGCTGAGAGCTCCCGGTGGTACGAGCACAAAAATTAAATATTTAACAAAAGTAAACAAACTGTACCGATTTTGGTTCTTAAGACTAACAGAATCCTTCCCGGTGTCCAAATCGGGTCGCGGGTCTTCTGCGTCAAACAGTCCAAAACATGTCTGCACCTCCGGTAGTGATATCCAGCTAGCGGGGTCGGAGTTTGGTTGAACTTCTCCGGTAATCATCCCAGAGAAAAAAACAATCTGACCGACTAGCAGAGGCTTCAGAAGCTACATCTTGACTGATGACACATTGTTCTCAGCTATAACTCTAACACAGAAACATCGTAGTCAGGTGCTTTTTCTTCAGACCTCCTGTGAAACGTCACCAGCTGTCCAGGGCTTAGACCTGAAGCTAGTTTCTGTTTTTCCCGCGCCAGTCAGAAACATCAGATTTTCTTCAAATTCCAGCCGTGAAAATCCAAAAACATTTTTCATTGAGGTTTTATACTTTAAACATGCCATTCAAAGGAATTTAGCCTGTGGCCAATATCATTAAGATAGATTTTGAGTACTAGATAGTAAAGCCTCTATTCTGTGGTTAGAAGTCTCCTCGACGAGGGAGTGGAGAGCCGGACCAGAACACATCATCTCCTTTTCCAAGGGTGATGAACGAGATGTACTGAACCTCACTGAGGAAACAACACCGGCAGGATTCAGCAGTGTGGTAGGACTGACTTTGGGTTGCAATGATTATAAATTTATAAAAAAAAATTTGCCCCCTCAGAGTTTTCATGAATGTTAACTAGATCTATTAAAGCTTAAAGGGCTTTCTGATCAGTTTATCTCTGCTGTCAAATTGGCATTTTTGACATGTGATTCGATGAGGATTAGCTCTCTTCTGGTGGATGAGGGTGGAAATGCATTTTTTTTTTGCCTCTTCCTTGTTGGCTTCACTTTCATACCAGAATTATGGGGGCTGTCGTGGTGGAAATTATTCCATCTAACCACTCCCTGGTTCTTTGGAGGTGACCCTGAAGAGAGATCCACACTTTAAGCTAGGGCTGGGCAATATGGCCTAAAACTAATATCACAATATATTGAGGATTTAACCTCAATAATGATAAATGGACCATAACTGCAGGTAAGTTGTCCACTAGATGGGGCTGTCACATGTATTATATTTAGTCACATTTTTACGCATCTCAAGGTGGTACAGCTTCTTAAAGGGACATGAATGTTGCCCAGCTACACACATCTTTTCATTTTTTTATTATCAAATTTATTGACATGGGAAAAATGATCTCGATAAGAGCCAGAAATTTCGATAACGATACATTTTCGATTTATTGCCCAGCCCTACTTTAAGCCCATTATAATATGTACACACACAAAGATCTTTGGTTGGCTTCTGGTGAGAAGAACACAAGCAGTTCCCTGCCGATGTATCTTCTAACTTTCGACTCTTCTCGTCAGCCCTTTTATTGAATTGCATGAAAATTTTTTTTAATTTTACAACAGTTCCACAATAGACTGGGGCGTTCCCACTTCACAGTCATACACTACTCCTCCTCATGTGAGCGGTCTTCATGAGTTCACAGTCTAAAGCACCTTCTGACTTTCCCTGACCCTCAACATCCAAGACTTTTTCTAAGACTGAACTTGTGATCTCTGGCTCAGCAACGAGGTCAAAAGTTTATCAATCAGACACTTCCCCATGACATAACTCGTGATCTTCTTTTGACCACAAGCAGTAAGAGTCAGGCCATTGTTATAGAAACTTTCAACACCAATGTTTTCTGGAACGTTATCTCTGTTAGTCTGCAGCACTTCGACAAAGTTTTATTTCCTTATATATGAAGATTAAATGATTGACCAACACATTCATAACCTGACAGCAATTAGACTGAAGTTGACTATATTAGTTTAAACAGAAAAGGTTATATTGGTTAAGTGTAAAAATGATTATTCTCAAAAAGATTATATTGATTAGCTTTAAAAATGATTATGCTGATTAGGGCTGCAATGATTCCTCGAGTAACTCGAATGATTCGCTGACAAAATATATTCGAGAATTTTCCGCTGCCTCGAGGACTCGTTAAATAGACCATAGCTGAATATCCGGCATTGCGCATGGATTCTTTATGTGTTGCGCAACGTGGTTACGTCACAGATTATACGTGCCATGTACTCTACTGCACAGCGCGCAGCGGTCTTTTCGTCTTTTCAGCTGGGTAGCCGACAATGGCAGACGCCATGGAAATAAATGAAAACGAGCAAGACCAAAACGAAGGATATAGTAAGCGACAGAAGTTTTCCAAGGCATGGGATCACTTTACATTAAAAAGCAAGGAAAACGCCATTGTATGCAAGCATTGCAAGGTGGAGCTACCACAACAGCACTTCTTCCATGCTGCTGCACCTCTTAAAGGAGACATAACATGCTTTTAAGTTATTCCTTTTTACATCTAAATCCTTCAGTTGGGGTCTAAATATAGTGGAACTGCAGTTCTTTGGTCTGATTTCCTCATTATTGTTGCTCTACAGACCCTCATCTACCCCTGTTCTGAGGAGAGTCTTGAGAACGAGCCGTTTTTGGGTACTGTCTCTTTAAACTGGAGGAGGAGCTGTAAACTCCGCCCCCCCTCCATAGTGCAGACCTGTACTCTCCTCCCCCAGTCGGACTTTGTAGTTCTATAGAGAAATCATTATTTAGCATAGCAGATTTAGCATAGCATATTAGCATTTTTAAAACATGTGGGGAGAGTAGTTCATCAAGCTGTTTCAAGGCTGCTAACTCTCTCATGCATTTGTCTGTAGTCACTCACACACACCCGTCACGGCCGACGGAGGGACAAGCTAGCAGGCACGTGCGCGCGCGCGCACACACACACACACACACAAGGAATGCTGCTTGCTTATTTATTTCTATAAAAAATGTTTTAAAAAATGATACAGCTCATTAAAACACCATTAAAAGAATACATTTTATTAAGATCTCTATCTATATATATACATACATATAATTATAAATAATTTTATAAGTAGTCTTATTTTATATTGGGTGTCTTAATGGCTGAAAATGGATAAAAAGCAGTTACATTTTAATTTAAAGATTTGAGATTCTAGTCAAAAATAAAGAACATTCCTCCAAATGTTCTTTAATGTGATCATTATAATTCTAATGCTTAGAACTTTGTTTTTATTGTCTGCAATGCGTAGCCTATATCTTTATTACATATGTGTTTAGCTGTAAAGTGGTAATTCTCTCTAATGTGTACAGAGAGGTCGACATCAGTGCTGCAGTGAAATTCCCAAGATCAGTCTGCTTTGCTAACAAATATAGTTAAATCTTACCTGCATTCTAAATAAATACCATTAGGTGGAAACATCAGTAGGCATTGAGTTATTGATAAAATCCCTAACAGCCAGAATGGAAGAAGAGCATGCTGGGTCATCCTGGATCTGAGCCTGTTCTGTGTATTTACCTACAGGATGCAATAAATGTCTACAAGGCTGAGTTTGGACCATTACATCTAAAAGAAAACATACAATCAGTGATTTTTTTTAATTGTTTACATTAAAATACAAATTTTCTAAGTATTAACCTCACAGCAAATAAGTAGAACAATATAATAAACAGGCTTTAGTAGTTAAACAGGCGTTGTGCACACAGGTGCTTTGTGTCCCGGTGCTGTGGTATCTAGGTCTCAGAGTTCCTGTCCTCCTGCCGTCTTCTGTTGTCCTCAGGATACGGATTGATGTTTCCTGATGATGAGGGAGGGGCTGTATGTGGGCTTCAAACTGGTCCTGGACAACAGTGGGAGACCTCCGTTGTCTGAATACTGAGACCAGAGAGTTGGTGAGATGCAGATCTTCTCTACCTCATCTAGAAATGGAGTTGGTTCAGGGAAAACTTTTCCAAAGACCAGTTCCATGATGTCATCGCCATATTCTGCAATGATAGACGATAACTTTAATGACATATTTTGTTTACAAGCAGCTTTAGGAAAGTTGTTTCTTTAGCTTTCATGTTTATAGTCACGTTTGTTTGTTCACAAGTTCACTTTGCTGCAGTGACTTCATATTCTTACAAATGTAATAAAATAGTGACACTAAAATTATACAAATGATTCCTTATGAAAGGAAGCTCATTAGAGAGCAGTGCAGACAGACTTACTACATGCTGCAGCTGTTTTTGTAGGCCAGCTGCTGCTGAATTTGGGGAAAGTTATTCTGCACACATCCAGATCAGATGGTCGATTACAGAAAATAATGTAATTCAATAATTTCTAAACAGACTAAACAAGTAAAACATCAAATAAATCACTCTGCTGTCATCAGACGGAGTGATTCAGGGGGTGAGGTGTTCTTAATGATGAGGGTGGCTGAGGTGTGTCATCACTCACTTTGGTCTGGTCCAGACCGTCTCTTTACTGGTGCGTCTCCTTCCTCAGTAGGTGACGTGAGCTTCAACATCTGAGCGTTCTGTGTTCCTTAGAGGAGAAGAAAAGTAACATTAGCAAGCTGGCTAAATTATTTTTTACTAGCATCTCAAGGACTTGGAGAAGCAGATCTTCACTTACCTAAACATCAGACCAGTTTGTCCCAGCTGAGCTCATCAGGGCGTTAGTCTGACAGCCTGTCAGTGAAACACGGCTCCAGTCTTCTGGATGTTGACTCTAAAAAGCAAAGGAGCATTTTTACCTTGTTTTAATTATTTTACAGCCGATTTTATCAGCTTTCCGACGCTCACGCTCATACAGACGGTGAGCTTTGCTGCGTCTGACTGATAAAGTTAGTTTTATATCTGCAGTGAGACAAAAAACTAACCTCACTCCACTCAGAGATTGTTCTTTAAAACTATTAAATCCACTGTGTTGACGCACTTTAATGACTTTGTCACACTGCATTTTAGCTGATATGGGACTTTATTTACTGGATGCTAAGATTACATCACACTCACGTAAAATAACAAACAGGCTCTCTGCTGCTACAATCAGTGGGAGGTTATCATCTGGTGTAAAAGAAGGCGTTGATCAGAAATCACGTTTTATTCCACGAAAATCAGCCAAATCCACATTAATCTGGGTGCTAACTTTACTAGCATACTGTGCTAGCGATAGCAAGCCGGATGCTAACGCTTTAGTGCTGCTAATGCCCGTAAACCTAAAGTAAAGTTTGTCGACATTTTAGAGTGATATGAAGCTTACCGCTCTGCTGCTGTGTCCCGGTGCTGCCACATTCAGATGCAAATGACTCCTTTTAGATAGATGAAGCCCTCAGTACTTAGCCACTAGCCTGGAGACACGAACGAACGAACCACGCGCACGCGCGCGCGCGCACACACACACACACACACACACACACACACAAACACAAACACACTACTTTTTCTTCTGTGTTTTTTTAGCAGTAGTGTCATCAGCTCCTGGGTTTAAATACTGCCACACCACCCTTCCTTAAAACGAGGAACAGTTTTGAGCTGTGTGTGGCTAAAATAACCAGACATTCTGCATTTTTCCAATAGGACTACAAAAAATCTTAGCGAGAAGAAAAAATGGCGGATTGGCTCTGTGTTTAGCCGAGGGCCATTACCATATTTGGTAGTTATCCTGACTAAATTAATTACTGATGTAATAGATAATGTAAAAACTGAACGGGTGGACAAATATGCCCAAAACTTAATTATTAAATATCTAAATAGCAACTCCAGTGAATAATATAAGCCTTTTTGCTCACTTAGACACTTAAAATGTGAAACACACTGTGTTAATGGATAAAAAAGTGGGTTTTTCATGTTATGTCTCCTTTAAGAAAGCATCCGACTGAGGGCATGAGTGAACGTGCCGAGATCAGGTAAATAAAATTTTTTTCAGGACGTAAATATTGACTCAGCTGTAGTGTCAATAAAATACATTTATTTGTTATAAGTTAGTTTTAAATTTCTGCCCTAAAATGCATCTGTTAAGTGTATATTTTTAAAATTGGTTTACAAAAAAAAAATCTTTGTGTAGCGGAGGCAAATGTGTATTATTTATTTGATATTCTGTATAAATATACAATATTACCTTACTTGATCTTTATTGTAAATATCAGAAGATTATAGGATTTTTGCTTTATTAAGTAATTATACACACCTCGTCTTGATTCAGAAAAGAGTCAGGTTTATAATTGTAAGAATTTATTTTAGAAACAATTAAAACATGACAAGTGAACTAAGCATTTACTGTGAATGGATGGAGCTAAAGGTGATGTAGGAACCTACACTCAACAAAAATATAAACGCAACACCTTTGTTTCTGCTCCGATTTTTCATGAGATGGACTTAAAGATCTGAAATTCAGTCCAGATACACAATATTACCATTTCTCTCAAACATTGATCACAAATCAGTCTAAATGTATGATAGTGAGCACCTGTGCTTTGCTAAGATAATCCATCCCACCTCACAGGTGTGCCACATCAAGATGCTGATCTGACATCATGGGTAGTGCACAGGTGTACCTTATACTGCCCACAATTAAAGGCCACCCAGGAATGTGCAGTTAATTGCTTTATTGGGGGTCTGGGGACTCAGAACCGGTCAGTATCTGGTGTGACCACCATTTGCCTTATGCAGTGCAACACATCTTCTTCGCATAGAGTTGATCAGATTGTCAATTGTGGCCTGTGGAATGTTGGTCCACTCCTCTTCAATGGTTGTGCGAAGTTGTTGGATATTAGTGGGAACTGGTACACGCTGTCGTATACGCCGGTCAAGCACATCCCAAACATGCTCAATGGGTGACATGTTCGGTGAGTATGCGTGGCCATGCAAGAACTGGGACATTTTCAGCTTCCAAGAATTGTGTACAGATCCTTGCAACATGGGGCCGTGCATTATCTTGCTGAAACATGAGGTAATGTTCATGGATGTACGGCACAACAATGGGCCTCAGGATCTCATCACGGTATCTCTGTGCATTCAAAATGCCATCAATAAAATGCACCTGTGTTCTTCGTCCATAACAGATGCCTGTCCATACCATAACCCCACCACCACCATTGGCCACTCGATCCACAACATTGACATCAGCAAATTGCTCATCCGCATGACGCCACACACGCTGTCTGCCATCTGCCCTGAACAATGTAAACCGAGATTCAACCGTGAAGACAACACCTCTCCAACATGCCAGACGCCATTCAATGTGAGCATTTGCCCACTCAAGTCTGTCACGGTGACGAGCTGGAGTCAGGTCAAGACCCCGATGGGGACGACGAGCATGCAGTTGAGCTTGCCTGAGACGGTTTCTGATTTAAACCCTCTCAGTTCTTTGTCTTTTGTTGGTTCATTGTTTCAGTGTCCAGCGTGTTTTTATATTAAACTATACTAAACGTTCGTGTCTATCTGCCTGCCTTCCTCACCCACATGTGGATCCTCACCTCCGCTTCACTCACCAGCACGCCGTGACAGAATGAACCAAACTCCTAAAGGATCCAGCGGGGAGGTTCTCCCCTGGGAGTACCTGCTTCAGTTCCTCACCTCAAACCACCGGCCGGCTTCTCCTCCTCCGGCGTCGCCTCGCCGCAGACGCCGCTGCCGAACCCCGGCCTCGGCGATCCTCTCCACCCTCCCGGAGCCAGTTGGGGGGTTGGACTGGGAGACGCAGCTAGACCGCTCCTGCTATGTGGGCACCAGACTGGCAGTGTGCTCCCCCAGAGTTAGCCCACGGTGTTGGGAAGGATGCCGGGCTCCAGCGTCAACCCCTGTCCCAGGACGGAACCACGGGCTCACCGCTACCCCGGCTTGGGACACCAGCTTGGACCCACCCCAGTCAGATCAGCGGCCCCATCTCCGGTCCAGTCAGCACCTCCTTCATCTACAGGCGGAGGGCCCACGCCTACAGCCCATCAGACGGAGCTCACCAGCCTCCAAGTGGAGCTTGACTGGCTCCGTCAACTCATCAGCCTCCAGGAGTTCCAGCTGGACATCCTATCCTCCTCGTATCTCCAGGAGAAGGTTTCTGTCCAGCCAGCGGCCCCACCTCCGGTCCAGTCAGCAGCTCCCTCGTCTCCAGGCCAAAGGACCGAACCCACAGCCCATCCAACAGAGCTCGCCGGTCTCCGAGCTGAGCTGGTCCGACTCCTTCAGATTTTCAGGCTCCAGGAGCTCCTGGTGAACAATCTAACCTCCCTGCTTTTCCAGTTACCGGCTCCACCAGGTCCTGCGCCACCAGTCCAGTCTGCGCCAGGTCCCGCGCCACCAGTCCAGTCTGCGCCAGGTCCCGCGCCACCAGTCGAGTCAGCGCCAGGTCCCGCGCCACCAGTCCAGTCAGCGATAGGTCCCGCGTCACCCGTCCAGTCAGCGCCAGGTCCCGCGCCACCCTTCCAGTCAGTGCCAGGTCCCGCGGTGGTCCAATAGGCTCCGCCCCTGGGCCAGCCTGTCCAAGAGTCTCCGCCCCGGAGCCAGCCTGTCCAAGAGGCTCCGTCCCCGGGCCAGCCTGTCCAAGAGGCTCTGCCCCCGGGCCAGCCGGTCCAGTTGTCAGCGCACAGTCCGGCGGCACCAGCCAAGGAAGCGGTCCCGTCTGCAGCGGTTCCGCCTCGACTCCAGAAGTTGGCGGCCCCTCCTGCGGCGCCTCCACTCCAGAAATCGGCGGCGCCTCCAGTCCAGAAGTCGATGCCTCCAGTCCAGAAGTCGATGCCTCCAGTCAGGAAGTCGGCGCCTCCAGTCATGAAGTCGGCGCCTCCAGTCCAGAAGTCGACGCCTCCAGTCCAAAAGTCGACGCCTCCAGCCCGGAGGTCGACGCCTCCAGCCCAGATGTCAACGCCCCCAGCCCAGGGGTCGACGTCGCCTCCAGCCCAGGGGTCGACGTCTCCTCCTCCAGCCCAGAGGTCGCCGACGTCTCCTCCTCCAGCCCAGAGGTCGGCGACGTCTCCTCCAGCCCAGAAGTCGACGACGTCTCCTCCAGCCCAGAAGTCGACGACGTCTCCTCCAGCCCAGAAGTCGACGACGTCTCCTCCAGCCCAGAAGTCGACGACGTCTCCTCCAGCCCAGAAGTCGACGACGTCTCCTCCAGCCCAGAAGTCGACGACGTCTCCACCAGCCCAGAAGTCGACGACGTCTCCTCCAGTCCAGAAGTCGACGACGTCTCCTCCAGCGTCTCTACCTGCCGAGTCTACCCCTGCAGCGGCTCTGCCTCCGGTCACCGCCGGTCCTGCCCTCGCCAGGTGCGGATGGGCCACGCCTACAGCCCATCAGACGGAGCTCGCCGGCCTCCAAGTGGAGCTTGACCGGCTCCGTCTACTCATCAGCCTCCAGGAGTTCCAGCTGGACACCCTATCCTCCTCGTATCTCCAGGAGAAGGTTTCTGTCCAGCCAGCAGCTCCGCCTCCGGTCCAGTCAGCAGCTCCCTCGTCTCCAGGCCAAAGGACCGAACCCACAGCCCATCCAACAGAGCTCGCCGGTCTCCGAGCTGAGCTGGTCCGACTCCGTCAGATTTTCAGTCTCCAGGAGCTCCTGGTGGACAATCTAACCTCCCTGCTTTTCCAGTTACCGGCTCCACCAGGTCCTGCGCCACCAGTCCAGTCTGCGCCAGGTCCCGCGCCACCAGTCCAGTCAGCGCAAGGTCCCGCGCCACCAGTCCAGTCTGCGCCAGGTCCCGCGCCACCAGTCCAGTCAGCGCTAGGTCCCGCGCCACCCGTCCAGTGAGCGCCAGGTCCCGCGCCAGCCGTCCAGTCAGCGCCAGGTCCCGCGGTGGTCCAAGAGGCTCCGTCCCCGGGCCAGCCTGTCCAAGAGGCTCTGCCCCCGGACCAGCCTGTCCAGTTGTCAGTGCACAGTCCGGCGGCACCAGCCAGGGAAGCGGTCCCGTCTGCAGCGGCTCCGCCTCCACTCCAGAAGTTGGCGGCCCCTCCTGCGGCACCTCCACTCCAGAAGTCGGCGGCGCCTCCAGTCCAGAAGTCGGCGCCTCCAGTCCAGAAGTCGGCGCCTCCAGTCCAGAAGTCGGCGCCTCCAGTCCAGAAGTCGGCGCCTCCACTCCAGAAGTCGGCGCCTCCAGTCCAGAAGTCGACGCCTCCAGTCCAGAAGTCGACGCCTCCAGTCCAGAAGTCGACACCTCCAGTCGAGAAGTCGACGCCTCCAGTCCGGAAGTTGACGCCTTCAGTCCGGAAGTCGACGCCTCCAGCCCGGAGGTCGACGCCTCCAGCCCGGAGGTCGACGCCTCCAGCCCAGAGGTCGACGCCTCCAGCCCAGACGTCGACGCCCCCAGCCCAGACGTCGACCCCTCCATTCCAGACGTCGACGCCCCAGCCCAGAGGTCGACGCCCCCAGCCCAGAGGTCGACGCCCCCAGCCCAGACGTCGACGTCGCCTCCAGCCCAGGGGTCGACGTCTCCTCCTCCAGCCCAGGGGTCGACGTCTCCTCCTCCAGCCCAGAGGTCGGCGACGTCTCCTATAGCCCAGAAGCCGACGACGTCTCCTCCAGCCCAGAAGCCGACGACGTCTCCTCCAGCCCAGAAGTCGACGACGTCTCCTCCAGCCCAGAAGTAGACGACGTCTCCTCCAGCCCAGAAGTCGACGACGTCTCCTCCAGCCCAGAATTCGACGACGTCTCCTCCAGCCCAGAATTCGACGACGTCTCCTCCAGCCCAGAAGTCGACGACGTCTCATCCAGCCCAGAAGTCAACGTTGTCTCCTCCAGCCCAGAAGTCGACGTTGTCTCCTCCAGCCCAGAAGTCGACGTTGTCTCCTCCAGCCCAGAAGTCGACGACGTCTCCTCCAGCC